TCAGCCACTTCTAAGAGGTTCATGAGACAGACAACAAAGCAGTTAGTATTTATATCTTTTAAGGCTAGTATTTCTTGAAATTCCTTCATTTGCTCAAGCCATTTCCCTCTACAAAACCATTTGATACAGTATAATGCAAAATACACTGTACAACTACTGCGTAAAAATGCTATTTGACCCCAAAAGTTAAAGCTTTGTAAAGAAAAGCAGATTCAGGAGAAATATGATTCATCTGAATCAATGGGGAACACCACATCTTAAATGTGCAGGGGAAAAAATTATAGTAGTAAACAAATCTTGGATTCTCAAGCAACAATACTTATCAGTTCATAAGTTTTACTATTGAAAACAATCATTCAAACCCTTTTGAGCAATTACGTTACTTAAACAATTTTACCTCCAAGTTATGGCTCAACAATTAGCAGATACAAATTAACCAATAATGCTGCATAGAAAAAACCACAAAACAAACAAACCCCCAAACCCCACCAACATTAACATTATTGTCCAAAGCTTATTTTGTAAAAAAGCTACCAAAGAAAGGTCAGTTAATTCATCATGATGGATTATCACTAAAATTTATAAGCATTAGCATTTTTCTCCTTGCTGGATACCTTGACTTTGATATGACACATATTGAATGAATCATCTAAGATGCAGGCACCAGGCAAGATATATCTTAATGCAGACAGGTCGGCAACATGAACCCTAATGGTCCTTATCTTAATCTTGTTTAAAAGCATCTTAGATTTCTGAGTAATCTTTTCACCTCCTGATATTCTCTTTTATAGAGTGTTTTTGGTGGAGTTGCTACCGATTTTCACGTAAATGCATTTTTGTTGCATAGTATCACCAGTTTTAGTAGCCCTAAAAGTGATCTAGGTTTGCAATTTAGTAAATGCTAAGATTAAGCTTATTTTAAAAAAAAGTCAACATGCCAGAACTTTGACAACGACAATAAAAATCTGTATGTTATTGTAGATTATCCCATTCATGAAACATGGCATCACAGCTGTTCATAACATGAACAGACACCTATCAAATTTGAAGATGTACCTCTGACGCATTGTTTTCTTCTCGTTCATATATTTTCCACTGTTGCATCATTAACCTTGGATATTTGCAATACGTACATTTAAACAGTCACTTTTCAATGAAAAATGTGTTTATTCAAATACCTGAAGTTTTTCTACTACTGCTTTTATCGTATTCACATTGTATCTAGTAATTGCAAATTAGAGAGATAACAAGGTGGCAGACTTTTCCCACAAAACTGCACTGACTTCTTTGGGCTACAGCTGCTTTGTTTAAAAAAAAAAAAAAAAAACCAAACCACAAATAGGAGATGGAGAGGCACAGAGGAAGATAACAGGTGAATTCTTTTTAGTTCAGATTTTTTTGCAGTAACAGCAGTTCATACATTCATACAACTTTGGAAGGTACCTACTCAGGCTGACAAAGTATTTTCTTAAACTGATCCCTAGGAAGGAACACAGGCTTACAATGTTGTGGACTTTAAATTCTTTACAAAACAGTTGAATAACATTCTACAGGTTATAAATATCTTGTTGCAAGGGGCACTCCAGAGCAAAACACAGACAAGTGACTACGACCTCTTCCTGGCAGTAGACAGCTTGTTCAAAGAAATCTAGAATCTCCCAAGAAATAATCTACCTGAAGAAACTCTAATAGAGGAAAAATGCAAGCCATCAATGGAGGCTTTTTGCATGCATTAGCACTGGAAGGAGCATATGACTCAAATGCTAGCTCCTACAGCAACATGCTCTGCTGACATTTATAATGTTCATCTCAGATGTTCTATAAGCAGCATCCAGTTTTCTCATGTTATGATTAGGTTAATGTGTTGACATTTAGAAATATTACTTGCCCTGTATTTATTTGCACATGGAAACTTTCTAGCAGGTTGATATCTTCTAGGTGAGTATGAGATATTTTTTCTATTATACACTTCAGAAGCCTGAAACAAAACACTAAATTTCTAAGTTTGTTTCTCCAGCTGTAATGGGAATACAGGGGTTACCACTTTCACCAAGCATTGGTAGATCACTTCCTTAATGTACACAAAGCAACCCGAAATTCCAGACACTACAGAGAACTAAGCGTTATTCATAAAAGCCCCTTAAATTCCAGACTGTGAAGTTCAAATGGTATTGTTTGTTCTATGGCTGCCATAAATCTATTTTATTTCCGACATCGTGCAATGCAGTTCTGAGTAACAGGACAAGCAGTAAGAGAACACTGCCTGGGTGCTAGCTCTAGGGTCCCAACATCGTTCATCACAAACTGCCAGGCAGGGTTCTCAACTTTTGCCTCCTGCGGCAGGTGTTAGACCCTCCATTCTTTCTATTCCCATGGACTGAGGACAAAAATTGTTGATGTACCATTCTTTACCTGTATTTCATTCAAGTGAACAGAAGACTATGAAAAGTCAAAGCGAACAGAAATGAATGGAAGTGCAGTAAGATGCTACCCCTGTCTCTAGCATTCTCCTTATAAAAACAAGGAGAGTAACATAGAATTTATTACCTGAATTAAATTAATAATGGGCTTCCAGAAAAATAAAATTAACTTTATTTACAAAGCAAAATCATTAGGGGTAATTGTCAAAAGGTTTTCAGGCAAACAGGTAAAAATGTGCAGCATGAGTGCTGGAAGTGAGGCACTGAAACAGAGCCATCCTAGAAGCTGGGCTTCTGTTGGAGATCAAAAAGGACATCATTGCTGAGCCACAAATTCTTAAAACTGAAAGAGAATTCTGCACTGAAAAATGCACCTGTATGTGTAACCAAACTGAAATCCAATGTACATGCTTAAAATCGAGCTCCATCAAATTACCTGGACAGTCGGTACTCAAAATTCAGAGCATGGCCCTCAGCCTTCCGGACATTTCAAAAGACTTTATTTTTCACTTATTCCAGTTGAAACTCCAATTCATAAAACAGGTTGAGCCCTCAAAAAAAAAAATCTACTTAACTCATAATAGTTAATTTAGTGAGATACTTGATCATGTATATTAATCAGATCTTGATAGTCTTCAAAAATTCTTTAAAAGCTGCAGTTTTTTAAAGAGATGTAGCAATTTCCCCATGAAAATATCTGAAAATCAGTTTTGAAAAGCAAATGTGCAGGTAAGCGATATTCTGGATGATGACAAAAAAAGACCTTGTTTTCCCTGTACTAATATGCTTATCCTTACATTATTCTGTGTTTTCAACATATTAATCTCAGACTTAAAGGCAACCCGATCCAGCAGAAAAGAAGTAGAATGAAAAAGGGCATCCGTAGAAAAATATTGGCAATGTGATTTTAAAATATCATCCTTCAATTGTCTGCAATTTATATTTATCACTACTTTCACTAGGATCATGGAAGTGTTCCCACAAAGAAAAAGAAACCACTCAACGTGTTTAGCTAGATGACCTTTCAGTAAAGCATAAGGGCAGTGAAAGGGGGAAGGGCACCAGAGCTGTCCAGCAATCTCTTTCCTTCTTTATTAAATGTCATTAGAGTCTCTCTATACTTTCAATTCAGATTACTATTCTCATAAAAACTTTCATAAATATTTGTCAGGTCTGTATACGCAAGATCAGCTATCACATACTGCTCAAGGTTAGACACTTGAGTAGAAGAATAACGATGATACTGAAAACTGAAATATGCTCCCATTTAAATTCTTAAATAAACTGAATGCTAAATTTCTTTTCAGATCATTAACTTTGCATATAAGCGCATAGTTTTGTGAGCTAGATTAAATAAATTCATAGTCAGTAATCTGTTTCTTTTCAGTGACTGTACATTACATGGTCTAATGTTGTCACCTAATGGTTACTGTCAGTAATTGCACTGATGGCCGCAATTCTTTATGGACTGCCAGTGAACAAAAAACCCTCACTTTGCAGCCTCTTCAGTTAAATAACAAAACTAACAAGGTTTTGCAAAAAAGAAAAAAATATTTTTTATTTCCTTTTTTAAAATATTCTGTGTTCAGGAACCTTAGAGATGAGGGAAATGGTCCGAAACCTTTATTTCCATCATGCTGGGGTTTTGGTTCATTTGGTATGATTTTTGGGGGTTTGTTTTTTTGACAGGTTTTTGTTTTGTTTGTTGAGAGGATTTTCAAAAATCATAAGTGATGGTTTAAAACAAAAAAAGTCACACTCTTGCAAGCATTACAAGAAAAATGGACATGAATTACAGAATTATATTGCAGGTTTATATTCCTGTTCCTCAGAGCTGACCATAAATAACAGTAAGAACTAACAGAGAAGAAAGCAGAACTGCTGTGAGGTACCGATTAACCATAATTAGGTACCTGTTGTCAGGGAAATATTACATAGTTTGAAATCGAGCAATTTGATTCCTTTCAGCCAATGCCAGTAAGCAATTCTCCCGACTCAAGAAAAATATACAAGAATCTCCAATGGAGTGAAATCGAACAAGAAACAGGGAAAGAAATTGCAGGGATGAATACTGCATCCAAACAGTGTGCAAAGAACATGCAAAAGCATTCTTGCTGCTAAGCTATACACATGACGTTTCCTTTCATGATCTGTGCTTACATGGAGGAGATTTTTTTTCTTTTTTTTTTTAAATAATTCCAAAATATTCAGGGAAAAAAATTAAGGAAAAAATGCAGCTCAGTCTGGGTGTGGGTTTTTTTTGGTAAAACTAATTGAAAAAATTGTACTCACTAATTAAGATATAGCCATCTGTTGAAAACAAATATGAACATGTTTTTTCACAAGAACAAACTTGTATGCTAGCCAATACGAGATCCAAGAAATCAAATATAATATAATCACAGTGTGTTATTACAATACATTTATTTTATAAACATATTTATGCATATTTATATATGAGGAAGCCTATATAAATTATATATATATAAAAGCATAAGATAAAAGCAAAAGATTACCAGCACATTTTCAAGTGGAGCGTGTGTGATTTCAGAAGAAGAATATGAATTAAGAGTTTCTTACCTTATAGGATGGCAAAAAGCACAAAATTCCTTGGCCAACTGTCTGACACACTGAAAGCAGAAGTGCTCCCACCTCATCCTGGAACTCAAAGGTCTCTGTATGCTGGAACGTGGCACATAACTTCCGACCGTTAGGGCCTGCTCCAACAGTGCCAACCCAAACCTGGTGTATTTCATATGAAAAAAGGTTAATTCTAAAATATGTGACACAAACTGCATTAAACTACATGAGGTCAAATAACGAAATTTTAAGTGTAAAGGAAAATATCGAGGTATTTCTAAACAAATTAATTCCAGTACTTAAAAATAGAAGAGAAAGTGCAATAACTGATACAAGATGGCAATTGCCAAAATAGCATGACTTCAACTTTTCCAGGTGAGTATGGGTTTAAAAATTGCCCCTTTTTTCATTTGAAAGGGTACTTTACAGTTGCATTAATCCAAGCAACTATCTGTTCTGTATGTTTCTTTCTACTTATGGAATGGGTTTGTCATAATTTTCACTGTCAAGTTATTGATTCTCTTACAGTGGCCAGGATTACACCTCAGGAGAGGGAACAACGATGCGAAAGTTTACCTGTGAGTTCCGAATAACGTGATTTGCCTCCAACTGAATGGAAAACTTCACACCAAGCTCTGAAGAAAATGAATCCATTGGAGAGAGTGTACCTGATGTCAGAACAATTGTTCTAACATCACTTAAGTCTGAAAAAGCCTAGGTTGGAGAAAGAAAAGCAGGAATTTAGAAAATCAATACAATCACCTTAAGATCTTCTATGTATTTGTTATCATTCAGACTACTTAAGGCCTTCTACTTCACACTCAGCTTACCACGGCGGGATTCAAGCACCAAAAATTAAGCATGTGGACTACGGTTTTCTGCCGCAAACTCCTTTTACGCTTGGGCCGCATAGAGAAGGCATTTGTATCAGAAACATCAACTTGGTTTTCATTCACCCAAGTGTAAGTTTGTTGTAGAGCAACTCTGTAATCATCTGCATACCTAATATAGAGACACAGAAATATCAATAAATTAAGCAAACTGCAAGCATTAAGCTTGTACAAAGCAAAGGCTTTGTAGCTACAACACATTTACAGCTTAAGTATAAAAAATAAGATTTTACTTTCTGAAAAAACAGTGAAGCTTTACAATAATTAATAGTTGAAGTTAAGGTTTAAATCAGAAATTTTTGTAACTGCTAGCATTAGTAGTCAAGACATCAAGACAGCCAAACAATAAGTGCTATGTGGAAAAACAAAACCCATGCATATTTGACTTGGCAACACACGAAGAAAATGTACACGTAACCTTCAAATTTACACCAGACACTGTAACTGAGGTGTTCACAAATGAAAGAGGCAGTTTGGCAAAGCAGCTGAACTAAACTCCACCACACAGCTCAGGCTATGTATTTGCACTGACCTGCTATTATCTTTAAAAAGACATAGAAGAACCATGAATAACCCTTTCAGCACAATCTGAGTGGCAGGGCTCACAACTGGTATCACAATAAGTTCCTCTCTACCGAGCACTGACATTTTTTCTTCTTTTTCCAGGACGGTAGCAAGATGTTTCTGTAAGAGGCAAACAAATTCCACATTAACAACATTCTAAGTATGTTCTCAAACACAAAGCTAACGCAGACACAAGACTCGCAGCACACTGTTTTAAAAGTTCACCGAAGGTACCTATAAAGTCAGACTGAAGACAGCATTGGAAAGGGAAAGTAACAACACTGTATGTGTCTTATACGGACAGGAGGGATAAACTTGAAAATAGGCTAAACACATTTCAACAGTCAATAAAAATGCAGATCGATAGAACAGACAAAACTATCACTGACTCAATAGTTCAATTTAAATAATTGTACGTGGTCAATTATATCCTTTAAAACATTGATTCTCCACAAATTCTGGTAGCTCAAGAGGATTACTCCTGGTATCATTTTCAGACAGCTTTTCAGAGTATTCCAGTAAATGAAAAGATCCGTAGCATCTAACTTCTGTACATTTTAAGATGATAATAACACCAATATTATGCACTCTGGTACTCATTTGTATAGCATACAACATTACCTGTAAAATGGGAAAAGTGATACCAGTTATTCCCATTTTGTGCAAAATGGTGAGCATTTCTTTTCCACTCCAGACCTTACAGGAAGTTTCATACCCTGTTTCTACTAGTAGACTAGAGCTCTCCTGTAACCAGCTGTAAAGAGAGAGAAATTAGAAATAAATTCAGCATTAATTTCAGAGACACTTTGCAGGTAGAAACCAAACCTCAAAAATTGTACCACTCTCCTATGATGATGATGACAAACACATTTACATGTAAGTGGAGAGAGATTCTGCTTTTCCTTATGCCAGTTTTCCACTGTTAAACTAACCCCTCCACAGAACTGCTTGATGCAGCTCATTGAAGTGAGAGAAAAATTTGTCCCTTTAAGTTTATATTTTATCACCATACAATATCTTTACAACAAAGAAAAAGGATTAAAATACAACCTGTTCTTAAGATGTCAGGCTCGTTTAAGAAAGATTTCTACTGTACTTTTAAAGCCACTCATTATTACTCTAACTGATGCAAGTTGGTTTATGACCCCGTCAATCGCAGGCTTTCCTGTTAAGAATAAATCTTGAGGCATGAATTAAGTACTTCTACTATTTATACACAGTAAGGAAAGGTAGGGCAAGAAAAAGAGCATATTTTAACCTACCTACAGGTATTTGTAACTCTGCTAGAATTTGAAAATTAAGCAGAATTATAATTGTACTGACAATGCAAAATGTGACAAGACTTTCTAAAAACGTGATCGAAGAATGCAGACCCTCTCATTTCTAGCAAAGCTACAATTTTCTCTGACTGAATGTGTCCTTCATCATCCCTGCAGTGTTACAAGACCTTCCCTCCGTCTAGACAAGCAGGCAGGCTTCCTCCCTCTCAGGAAATGCCGAAGCTGTCCGTTTCATCAACCAGCAGGAGGCATCAGAAAGACAGCTGTCATTTCTACGACAGTTCAAAATATTTATCTGTAAAATCAGCTAATCATTATCAACTAACGTGACAACGTTTAGTGACTGTTTCGGTTCCAAATTCCCTGTCCTGTCATTGCAAATAATCTCATCAATGGAACAATTAAAATCCTTTCCTTTTGCCAGGATAAATGCAAACAAAACCCCATAAATACTACCATGACAATCGCTTCTTTAGCTATAATTGGCTTTATCTTATTAAGTAATGATGCTCACTAACACAGGCAGAACTTCACCAGTGTAGTACTCTGCCCCATTTTCTCAAATGTAACATCAAAATGACCTGGTACTAGAATCAGGAAAAGGCCACTATAAACAGAAATGAAACATATTTACATCGGATTAAATACTTCAAGAAATGTAAAACTTCTGTTTCCCTTTTACGAACTTCAAACACTATCACATACTTTTGAAATGGTCATGCTACAAATACAAACACAAACTTAACACAACAACCTTCCTAATATTAAATACTACAAAAAGCAGAAAATCCTTAAATAAATTCCATCCCATTAAATCTAATCTTAAAGCATTTACTTGAAATATCTGTTAATTTATTTTTAAAGTAAAGCAGTAAGCAGAAATAAAATTAGCTTGATTCCCAGAAAGGTCCCTATGGTTTTAAAGTGAAAATTTAAGCAATATTTTCAAGAAAAGATTTAATGAACGTTACAAACACGCCTTCAACTCAAGAAAGTATATTTGCTCCTTCTCTCCCTACCAGAAAATGCCATTGTTGACAAAGCTTACTCCACTGAACCAAGTAATTTGTGCTGGTAAATCTGCATCTCATCAGAAAAGCTTGCCATAGTATCTCTATCGGTATATCTTCAAATTCCTCAGAAAGGTCATTCTAGCACCTCTGTGGCACTAAGCCCACGCTTAAGTGCTTTCTGGATTAAGGGCCCAGGATCTTTATAACTGAAATAAGATTTTTCTAATTACCCATGCATTTGGCAAAGCCATGTCACTATGCAACAGCATTTTACCAACTACTGGCCATTTACACCCAGTGTTCTGCTTTCCAACAACTGCTTTTCATGCTGTTGGCAGATTTGCCAAGACAATCAACCTTAGTTTTTCTGATAAGGTTAAAAAGCTTGAGGCAATCAAATCTCCAGCTGTGCTGTTCTCATCTTTACCTAAAATTTAACATTTGAAATACTCAAGGTAGGAGAATTAGCTTCCACAAAAAAAGAAAAACAGAAGTCACTTGTCTCTGTGACACACAAACATTAACTCTCAGAATACAGGAAGGAGAGGAAAAATGGTGAACTACTTGCTGTAGTGAACTCTGAAGTGAATTTCACCAACCACTAATGCAACAAAATGATGCATGCACTGAATCAGAGTTCAGTTAACTTCAGAGCCACTTGTATCTTTATTCAATTTTATTCTGCTGACTTTGTTGTCCAAGGTTTCATTAGCAGTGTGTTTCTGAACTCTTTCAGTCCCTGGATCCCCCAAAAGAAAGGTTCAAAAATTAAGGCCTATAGAACTGAATTCCACATTCTGTAGTGGTGACAGACTCTACTGACGTTTCAACTTCTTCATGTTCCCACTCCCTCCAAAAGACTTTTGCCCTTGACCCCTTGTTTCTTTCCCTCCTGCCCAAGCTTCTGCCCCCAGTCCATTTGCTTCTGTTCCATCCCCTCTCACGATTTTCAGCTTCTGCTCAGGTCCTCCTAATTCTGTCTCCAGTTTCTGGGTTTTACCTTCTTTTTAGCTCTTACTACCTTTTCCTTTATGGACGCAAGGGCAGAAAGAAGCAGAGAAGAGAAGAATATTTTACATGTTTTCAGCTTCTTTCTGCCTTACTGATCAACTCTTGTTTTCAAAACCACTCCCTCAATCATCCACATTTCTCTATCCACTGAACTCCACGATCCTCGTGTTCCGACAAGGCAGGTACTAAGACATTCGGCACATCCTTGATTTCAATTTCAGTACAAAAGCAAATAATGACATTAGCGGCTGAACACGAGTCAGTGGTGTGCCCAGGTGGCCAAAAAAGCCAATGGCATCCTGGCTTGTATTAGGAATAGCGTGGCCAGCAGGAGTAGGGAGGTGATCATCCCCCTGTACTTGTCACTGGTGAGGCCACACCTCAAGTACTGTGTCCAGTTCTGGGCACCTCAATACAAGAAAGACATTGAGGTGCTGGAGAGAGTGCAGAGAAGGGCAACAAAGCTGGTGAAAGGCCTAGAGAATAAGTCTCATGAAGAGCATCTGAGGGAACTGGGGCTGTTTAGTCTTAAGAAAAGCAGGCTGAGGGGAGACCTTATTGCTCTCTACAGCTACCTGAGAGGACATTGTAGAGAAGTTGGTGCTGGGCTCTTCTCACAGGTAATGAATGATAGAACAAGAGGGAACGGACTCAAGCTGCACCAAGATAGGTTTAGGCTAGACATTAAGAAAAAATTTTTCACCGAAAGGGTTGTCAGACATTGGAATAGGCTGCCCAGGGAGGTGGTTGAGTCACCATCCCTTAAAGGTCATTTAGATGTGGTGCTTGGAGATACAGTTTAGGGGTGTACTTGGTAGAGTAGGGTTGGTGGTTGGACTTGATGATCCCAAAGGTCTTTTCCAACCTGAATGATTCTACGAAAACCACATTCTACTGATACAGTCCAGGGAGAAAGATAGATCAGTAACTCTGCGTGGACAACTTTTGCCTGAGAATAATCAGAAATTCAAAGAGGATAGTGCGTGCTCTGTGCAAAGAGTTTGCTACCTCACTTCTCTAAAGACTTCAACAAGTCTCTCCTGAGAATTTGCGTGTACCCCAATTTTTCAGATCCTTATCTCTTTGTTCAATTTCAATCTGTTTGCAGGAAGAACAAAGGGTATGACTGATAAATTCACTTTCAACTATGAAGAATCTGTTCCAATCTGATTCCAACCTGTTCCGGACACTTCCTGTCCAAGTGCTATCACTAATCGTCAAATAAGCGACCAGAAGCATGTGGAAGACAAAAATTATTTCTTTTAGGTCAAATTTTCATACAGAACTTCATGACCAGGACAGTAAGCCCTGTAAAGATCAGCACATCATTCAAGAGCATAACATGCTTTCCAAAACAGAATTTCAGTGCTTCCCTTTGAGTAATATATGTATTTGTTTAAACAGATCAAAACCCTCTGGATTCCTCAAATGAACAAAAAATCAGGTGATTGCATAGTTTGAAGTACACCTCTGCTGTTGCATTTTATCAGATGCAACATAGTAACCAGTAAATCGTATCAGTAAAAGGAGCCTAAACATGATTTTAAAGAAATACTAAGTGATATAATGGAATTAAAAAGAGTTGTCTTACTTTATCAAAGAGCAGCACACAGCCCGCAGGGGCTCATGATCCTTCCGTCTGATGTTGTTATTGACCATCAAATCCAGCTCTTCTCGAGCAGCTCTTAGTTGACTTTCTGTAACACTGTAGCTCACTGACTCCCGAGCACAGTCCTCAATATTATGGGCTTCATCTAAAATGACTACTTGGCCTTTTAGGTTAATTTCCATCTAAAAAAGACAATTATTATCTAGTAAAACAGAGCGAAAGACATTAACAAGAAACAGAAACTAACAGGATCCTGTTAAAAAAGTGCCTATTCTGCATCATGGTGCAAGCTTTTTGATCCACTAGAAAATAACCCAGGGGAGGGGAAAAAAAAAAAAAGCGCCTTATCTCAGCCTGGATGAAAATAATCTGAACCTACTACACTCTCCATAAACCAGACAACTGTGAAGTCTGCAAGGGTTTCACTTCCACTGATTGAAAAAAAGCACATGATTGATCAGCTAGAGTACGCGACCAGTGGAAGGATTACTTGGAATACAGAAATTCAAAAAAAAAAAAAAAGAGAGGAAACCCAGGAGTTATTTTCTAGATAATATTTTGGATATAAACCAGATTCCAGTTGACTTTAGCCAGTGAACATTATGGTTTTTAACTTCCCTTTAACTTCAGTTATTGTAATCTTTCTTACAAACATACTTACACTCTCCCGTATCTGCGAGTCGAGGAGATAATTATAAGGACAAAATACAATATCTGCCCCCACCATGAGTTCTCTGGCCGCAAAATATGCACAAGCACGAAGCTTCTTTCCCAGGCTCACTAGGTCTTCAATGTCCCAAGCCTGATACATCCTATGTGCAGACTGTAGGGCATGGTGTTCACTGAGTTTATGAACACCATGATAGTAAAGACAGGACTTGCCCTAAAAGCAAATAAATGCAGATAGTTAGTGGTTACAAAAAATAATGAAAAACAAGGAAGCTTAAATCCTCCAAGTTGTTACATGCATTTGACTTTATGTTAGAAATGGAAACATTTCTAACAGCTACTTTTTATGTCAGACGATAATGAAAAACACATAGTGTCAGAAAGAAAACAGGTAAATCCACGTTCCTAAAAGGTACATCAATAAAGGACACTTATTTCTTCTTCATCTATAAAACCAAAGACAATTTAAGTCTTAGTAAGAACATTAACCTAGCAGTCATAAATAGTATTCCTATAATCATAATTTTTTCATTATTGATACTGTGTATCAACTTTTTTTTTAACAAATAATAAACTGAATTATCAAGAGGCATTTAAACAACAAAATAGAAGTAAAAAATGTTATGATTCCAACTGTTCAACCACCTTCCATTTTAATATGTTTAAATGAATGTTCATTTTCTGAAACAAAATTACTCACATGTTTTCCTTCCAGCAATTCTACACACATTTCGTTCCTGTTACTACCACTACTAGATACCACCGGATGAATACAGGTATAATCCCGGCTAGAAAGAATTGTCATAGGGACACTGGAATACGCCGTTCTCTTCAACTCTCTGGTAATCTGGGATATTTGCTTGTGCGTTCGCGTTCCAAAAAATATTTTGGGAATGAACGACCGAGCTCCATTTTCTTTCTTCTTTGTGTTACCAGTATCTTTATCAGTTGCTTTTCCAGAAGAACAGGAACACTCAGTGCAAGGGCCAGAAGACTGCAACCCAAAACAAAGAAAGGTTAACAAAATCCCACTGTGAGATGAACGTGCTAAATCTGCTCATGCTGTACCTAGCAAATGCCTTCCAGGATAGTTCACGATAGCCTATTAAATCACCAGGTTGGCCTATCAAACTGCAAAAAGTTTAAAAATGTCAAAGCATGCACGCCACGTCCTCATGCCTGAAAAATCTCAAAAAACTTCTAGCAATCACTAGATACAACTTTTCATAACCCAATCGGACAAAGAATTATTATTCCAGTGGAGTAGTCACACGTGTGAATAATGCAAATGAACTCCTCGCATTTAAGCTTCAGCATAAGGACACTCCTGTTACAGAACAAAAAGTGTCCAGCACCTTCAATGAAGAAAACCTTGGGACCAGACACCTCGATTAAAATACTGAGAACGCTTTTTCTTAAAGCAAGCAGGAGAAAGCTAGACAGTTTAATGAAAGCTGTTTGCAGACAAAACAATGCCATACATTCTCCATTAGAAACATGTTTGCCATGCCATTATGTCAAAGGCCATCTAGTAACTACAAGAATAAAAGACAAATAGGGAATAATTCTAAACAGAACCTAATCCTGTAAAAGATTTGTTAAAAGCCTTTTTTTTTTTTTTTCTTCCTGAGAAGCACCATCTTTCATAACATAAAATACTGGAACAACTGCCATGAAATTGTAATAATTATTGTGAAAAGACACACAGAAAACAAGTAACTCACGAGTAACCATGTCCACACACACCTCCCATAAAAAATAATTAATTCTTCCAACGTAAACCAGTTTGTATTTGGTTTTCAGGTGAAGTGCAAGTAACAACATGTAGTTGCCCGCTCAAATCCTCCTCCCTCCCTTTTCAATTGTAATTGGTAAGATTATCCATTACAAACAAATGCTAAGTCACCCCGTGTGTTACACCACAATTCTGGGGATCAAACCTTCTTTTAGCCTCCACTCTGAGAAAAAGCAAGTTCGTATTACCCCGAGTCCCACTCAGCCTTGTCCGCCATTAAATATTACAATACATGATAGGATGCATGCAAATGTAACCCTTCTGGAGCTGTCACTCACTGGGATAAAAGGTTCACTGATGTGCCAAATAAACAGGCCTCAAAGCAGATAAAGTTACACCCATGCTGGAATTGTTACATTCCCCTCTCAGGTTGCGAGTAACAGCAGATATCATTACGGTGTGCTGCCACATTAAATAGCCAGTTCCAAATATCCTGCCTTCTATATTGAATAATTACTTATTCACTGAAAGGATAAAAAGAAGAGTTATGAATGGGGCTCTTGTCAGCAGCAAAGCAGGAAACAGCTGACATATGGTATACGTTACATATGCGGCAATACTCAACTCTGTACTCACACAAACTGCAATGCAAATTGTACCTTGATATTCCTATCGTCTACACCCTGTTTTGCGCTTTGAAATAATGAAAACCACATCACCATGCTGACAGTCAATATAACCGAGGCAGTTACTGGGTAGGGCCTTTAAGAATACGTTTATCACAGAATCGTTTTGGTTGGAAAAGACCTTTGAGATCATCAGGTCCAACCACTATCCTAACACTGCCAAGCCCACCACCAAACCACGTCCCTCAGCACCACAGCTATATGTCTTTTGAACACCTCCAGGGATGGTGACTCCACCACCTCTCTGGGCAGCCTGATCCAATGTCTAACTGCTCTTTCAGCAAAGACATTTCTCCTAATATCCAATCTAAATCTCCCCTGGTGCAGCTTGAGGCCATTACCTCTTGCCATCTTTTAATTTTAATTTAAGTTCAATTGTGTTTTCAGAGGCATAAAGAATACTCAGAATTCCAAGCTGATACCATACCACCAGTACTTCACTGCTAACGCTAAACCTTAGATTAATCTGCCAAATAAAAGTAATAGAAAAATATTAGGACCAATCAGGCAGCTATTTTGCAAAAGTTATTCTAACAACAGGAAAAAACAGTTCAAACAACTATATGCATAAACATGGACAGAAGGCTCTTCTACGATGGGTTTAAAAAAAAAAAACACAGATGTATTTCTTTTTTATGAAAAGAATTAAAAATGTTCTTATATGTAAAGCTTATAAATTACAGCATTTTACAGGTGGCCTTAAACGATTTTCTTAAAAGGTCTGAAGGTATAATACTGGCTTTAAGAAGCACTTTAGCCAGTATTCCAGTTTTAAAATGTTACCTTTAACTTTGAAAAAAGTTTAAATAAAAACAAATCAACATTGAGAAAGTTATAAACTCAGACTGATTTTATAGCAACTAGTAAGAGTATAAAACTGCCTGCAGTAGTCGTAACATTTCTGAAAGCCACAGACACCATTAGCCCAAAACACATAAATAAATAAGGAAAACCTTTTCAGAAAGTCCTTTATAATGAAGGGAAACTGTAAGAATATGTTTAAAACATAGTTTAAAAGTTGAGTTCTTCATGTTATTTGCACATTATTCAAGTGTATCAATTTGCACTTGAATTCTTTGTTATCCTCTAGAGAATGGTTTGGTCATCTCTAATTTTATTAAAACCAAACTATTTTAATTCTATCTTTCTATACAAAGAATTTACTGATGATATCACATAGCAAAATCTAATGTAGTGTTAATCTCCCGTACTGCAGCAAAAGGAAAGTGAATACTCTCCAGGTGAACAAAGACTAACTCCAATGTGACAGTTTCCATTGCACTGTTGCCTTGTAAGGTACAAATTTTTAGACTCATAACACATAGATATGGGTTAAACTATAATAAAATTAGAAAATGTTTCCATTTATTTACAAAAGAATTGGGGGGGGGGGCAAGTAGAAGTAATTAAAACAACAGAAAACTATTCCATAATACCCTCTAGCTTCTGAACTAAACCCATTTTCACATGTTTGAATCTGGGAATAGAGATTTTCATTTGGGAGACGGGAAAAAAAAAAAAAGTCCTCTACTTTCTGCATATTTAATCAGAAACATTCAGTAACAGATGCTGTTAGAGATCAGATACCAGACTATACGGACCTTAAGATAATCCAGCTTGTTTTTACTTCTGTCAGGAGGTAGATAAAACAGCCTATCACATCAATATTTATATGGCAAAAACGTGGAAGTCTGATTAAAAAAGGAATAATCGAGACCCCCAACCCGTCCTACGTGTAAAATAGAGCTAAACAAACACCGAGGCTATGATCTTTGAAACACAAAGAGGTAAGGGGAGTTCTTCATATCTTCATCTACATTTCCCAGTTACAAAGCCATTTGAATGATACAGCAGTGAATGCCTCTTGTGTGAAATATCACACAAGCACAATCTAGTAAGATATCAGCAGTCACATTACCAGAGCTTTTCAACTCTTTCTTTATAAGCTCTCAAAAAGCACAGTATTCTGCTGCTGCTGCAGCCTCTTGATTAAAGTACACAAAGCAGCTGTTTATCCTCTCACAGTAACCAGCAGGTGAACCCAGTTCAATATTTATCACAGGCTTTCACAGATCACTGCTAACCAAGCAAACGTTTTAATTAAGCTGGAACTTGCTTCAAAGAGCTCATTCAAAACGTCAATCAGCGGGAAAAGGATCAGATACGGTGTCAGGTGAGAGCGTGTAATACAAATCCACAACTTTCTTCATCCCATCGCGGTAAATTAGCCTATTCTGGAGTCCAGACCCTGATTGTAACAGGCTGCCAGTCTCCTGGAATGTGTAACAGAAGTCACTCAAACTCCATTGTGAAGGTTGTAAGCAATATGTCAAACCGCAATGGGCTAGCACATTAAGACAGATTCTTTTCACAGTTGTTTTTTGATACCCCAAGTGTTTGTTACACTACTCTCCATTTACAGTTTACTTTTTTTTCCTAGTATAAATGGGGATTCCTTAACCCAGCTGCCCCAGTTTCTCAGACCGTATGCTTTGACAGAAGTAATCACGAGAGTACCCTAAGGGTATAATTTCTCGTCTGAACTCCCACTAGAACAGCCCTCTCTTGCAAGAATTAACTGCGGAAGGACAGAAATGGATTCCCAGGCACCGGACCGAAGGCAGCTAAGAACAGGCAGTCATCCTGAGCCAAAGACCCTCACCCACTGGATCTGCAGGTGTTCTTCTGATGCAGCAACATCAGGCAGCACCTCTCATGCTCTTACAACCACCAACCCATTCTCTCTCCTGGGCTATGAAAAGGACTTGACAAGTAACTAAATTTGCTTTAAGCACAGGAGTGACTACAGTAAAACTCAATTTATACAAAGGTGGAGTTATCTCATTGATTAAGAAAACATTTTTATTGCATTATGGTATCATCATAAGTACATGGTCCATTATAAGTGTTGAACATAACCTCAGGTGACTTTATCTCATAAGCTACACTAGGAAAGCTGTTTTATACCTAACAGCCTACACTGTGATGTTCCTCATGTCTTAAGCTGAATGTAGTTAAGCCACAGACCCACAAGTGATAAATAAAGTCTCACTTTCTGCAGTTGTTTCTTGATACCAGACAAGTTCTCAGTCCGCTTAAGTAAAAGTTCATCACAGGAAAAAATACCTTATTCCTTCATTCTTAAAACGAAATTTTAACAGGAATAAACACTTTTATTTCTTCTTAGATTACCTCTTTCTAAAAAAGTAGAAAGCAGTATAGTGTTTAAACTTTGAACAGCACACTGTACTGCCTATCTGCAGACTCAGACCCATGGATAGCACATTACAGCACATGCATCAACAGCTCAACTCCTGTTACAAAAACACAGTTTTCTCAGAAAATCAGACTATAATTCAGTACTTCATTATTTAACAGTTAGTTGATCTATACTAAAAATTTTCAGTTTTCTTCAGTGCATGAAATTTCTAGAAGTCATAAATCAAGTTTTTCAGATACCCACCCAAAGTACCAAAGCCAGGGAGGAAGGTCTTTGTATTTCAAAATCAACAGCACACTCTGCTGGCCTTTCTATTTCAAACTACCAATTGAAGTTCAGTGGTACATAGCATTTCAAGTCCTACTAAAAAAAAAAAAAAAAAAAAAAAATCTACAGAGCTTTCCAAAACTAATAAAAATTGCTTCCCATCAAATGACCTAGAACACAGATTCACTTTTGGCAAAAAAAGATTTAGCTCGCAGTGTCTTAAAGGAACACCAAAGCTTTTGGCGTCTTCCCTGTTTACAAAGGCACAGCACACTGGAAAACAGCTCTGGAAGTGAAGACATGCACTGATTAGAACAGAGGCTAATTGAGGACATCCAAAGAGCCAAGTCCTGTTGGAAGAGGTGGAAAGAGAACTGAAACGCCTGTTGAAACCAAGCGTATTTCCAAACATGCATAAAACCACCTGAATTACCCACAGATGGGTATTACCATAAAACAACATTAAAAAAATATTGGAAAGGGAGAACGTTCTTTGCTTTTTTACAAGAGAAAGTAGATTTCTGTACTGAAGCAAGAAATTGAGGTCAGACCTTATTCCTTTCTCATATTTGTCTCTAACATACAATTGCATGATTTCATGGTGTGCTCCTCCATTTTAATATTGACAAGAACTATTCTGTGCCAGCCTTTGATAATCATTCGTGGGAACCACTTCACTAACGTAATTTGGCACCTGACATTCATCTCTACTGCCACAGGTTTCTTCCTCTACTGGTTTTACTTCAACAAACTTTCATGTAAAATCAGTAAGATTCAAACACCAAGAAATGCAGCAAATGCCTAGCATAAAGCAGCAGAAACAGCTGCATGTTTGCATCTCAACTTCTTAGGCAATACTTCTGCTCTGGAAAGTGGTAATTTTTAAAAAAAAAAGCCAACCCCAAAACATATGTCTATCACAGTAACACACAGGATTTTTTCTTCTTAATCATGTGCAATATTTATTACTTAGTTTTTGTTATAATAGATTGTAATGATCAGCTCCAGCTTTCTCCATAATACTTTTTTGAGGCCTAAAAGGCACACACGTTAACACTAAATGCTGGCTTTCATTTACTACATACACCGCAAAACAATGAATGGCAAGTTGGACAAAATCTACAGACCCTAACGTCACTTATTTCCATGGTCCTAGTTTCAAGTTCTTCCACAATGTCGTAAGTCTACCATCAATTGGAATATAACACGCAGATCTATATCTGCTGTACAATTGCTGTCACATATTGAAAGTTTACAGGCTGAAGTGCTGGGCCAGATCCGGTGCTATTGGGGAGCCACGGTGTGAAAGAGTTCAACACACTGCTGAGAAGAACAACTTTCACAGAAACCATGTACACTTTGCAAATCACATTGGTTAGACAGCACCATGAGGAGTAAAAGCCACCGCAGCTCTCGCTATCGATACTGACATTACTTTAAAGCAACTTACATACTCGGGAACCTTTACATTAGGCTGTAACGCAGCCAGAGGTACAGTGTTTTCTCAAATTATGCTAACAAGCTGCATTTCATGCATTATCTCTTTACAGTAAAATATTTTTTTTTAATTACTCTTGAACTAACAGTCCTGATGTAAAAGATACTACTATATCACTTACTGTTTTGGGAGAAAAAGTAGTGGTTTTCACACTTTTTTCAGAGTGAACAATCAGCTCTCCATTCTTTCTCTGATGATAAACTTCTAAGGCATCAACTAGCTGCACTCCTTTTGCAAAACAATGGCGTTTTCTAACCTGGTGGGGAAAAAAAAGCATTGTGTTCCAATACACTGGACGGAAGTATGTGCTTACACTGGTGGTCAGTGATTTGGTTTCAATTGGTTTCCGCTGAGTCTGCTTTAGTAACATTGTGCATCACTAACGTTTGTTAACAGTTTAACCAAATCTAAGTCACACGCTTGGCAAAAGCGATAAAGTTTTAATTTAAATATTCAATAACAGAAATTTGTAATCTATTGCAGAGCTTTTCTTTTTTAATTTCCCACTGTTACAAAACTGACAGAAATTATAATACTATATAGATACAAGCAGAAAACTTCAAAAACTAAAATAAGAAATAAATTCAAACCATGTTGATCTAAAAACTAAATAAAAGTAACCACCTGAGCAATACTCTGAAGCAATGTCAAAGCTATTTTCAGTGCACATCTGAGCACATGCACTAAGCCATGGGATACAGACACGCAGATGAAAACATTACAGAAACATTGCCCTCCACATGTGAGGCCAGAGACAACTACACCTGACAGGATACAAACCAGAACTCTAATACTGTGAATGTATTAGTTGTGTTTCTTATGCACATTTGCAAGAGAACTTTCAACTCTAGAATCTCATCCTCTGACAATACTACAGATCAACTGGGGATAAATCTATCTGGGGGATATTAGCTGTCTAAATATGCGAGATCTAATTTACGACATAGTATTATGAACAACATAGTGCAACATGAACTCCTTTGTAACAAGTAATAATAAGTATGAACAAAAATCTGTCAATCTAAACTATGACCATGACATGACTCAACTATTCTCTATGCCCTTCTCTGAAATGCTGACTGGTATCTGACAGCTTTGTTGAGCTACACCTGGATTATTTTACTGCCAATAAACTTTGCTCACCTGCTGCTCAGTTTCTAAAGGGCGAATCCTTTTCCTGTCTACTTGAAAATCACCATTCTCATTGTCACAGAGAGATGACCTTTTTTTGGCAGACAGTTTTGAAGCTAGCGTTTCATTTTCCTTATATTCTGTAATTAAAAATAAAATAAAATAAAATGTAGGTTGACTACTAGGAATGCATTAAATAAGGGCAACATTTTAAAAGTAGAATTTACTATAAATACACATGATGTAGGAAATAGCATTCGACATTTCTAGACCTATTAGCCACCATTTCCATACAGATTTCCACGCAGGGCAGAATCATGTAGTACTCTATTGTGAAGATGGTAAAAAAAAATAAATCTCTGACTCGAAAGCAAAAAGCATGACATCACTGCCTATGTATTTTACTTCCAGAAGAGATTTTTAGTTGCCTAGATATGAAGTTACCTGTGTTTGTTAGCAGGCTTCTAGGTTTTATGGAACTTCCACTTTCATAATTATTAGAAGAACAAGAAGCACCACCATTCACACTTGTTGCAGCTTCATTGCTCCTGGATTGGGAATGACACGTGCAGCCACACGGTGGTGAGGTCTCTGGCTTTCTGTCTTCCTTTTCGCATGATGATGTAAGCAGTGATTTCTCTAAAGGACACAGTCATCTTCCATTAAAAACAACTCAAGACTATACATGGGAACTTGATTTTCAAAACAGTTAAGATGAAAGCTTTTGTTTAGGCACCAGTTACAAACCTTGTGTCTCTACAAGGTCTGAACAAGCTACCATCACCCTTTGAAGAACTGAAGCGCAAAGAAATGTAACAACATGCAGAAATTAAAAATACCCCTGTTTTTCAATTCAATCTGCATAACTACAATCCATGAGTATTTTCTTTCAAAGTTCTGACCGCCACATAATTTCCTTACAATAACAGACAGCCAAATCCAGCTTAGTATTACTGGCCATTATTGTTTTACGTTGCTGATAGGGCAATATGTGTAACGGTGGACAAAGACCTAGTTAGACTCCTGAAACCAAACATTTAAAGGCTGATAAACAGCAACAATTCATTATAATACACTTTGGCAATAAAAACTGGGCAAACAGACACCAAGACAACTTACCATAGAGAGACTGCTGCCAGGATAACGCAGAACAGAGCAATGCCAAGCTTTTGCCACTTCCTGTAGGGCTCTCCAACAAACAGTGTTGCCTGTTATTTAAGCCTTTAACAATCTTCAAGGAGAATAACAAGAACAAAACCAAAATTAATAGAAATAAACCAAAGAGGATGTCTTTAGCTAAGCTAGAAATAACTTCTAAAAATAGATCAGGACACCTGCTGTCTTGTAAAAAAAAAAAAAAAAACCAAAAAAACCCACCACAAACTAAAATCACCCCCTGCAATCACCTTTGAGAATAACAAGGGGTCAGCAAGCCTTAGCCGTATCTCTCCAGAGGAACACACCTCAACAGCAAAGCTCAGAGGTTCCCTTATGAGCTACTTGCCCGCTAACAGCCATAGCTGCTGGGGAGAGCTTGCTTCCTTTAGTCTTACAGAACCAAACATTGGAAAACAGGTCAGACGACCAAACCATTTGTCCCACCCAGAAAAAACGTTTAAAAATGGTTAAAACTATTTTAAAATGTTTAAACGTAAATCGCAATGATTCAACTCTCCAAAAAATGAAAACTTATTGAAGTATTACGTTCTGTTTAAAAGACAGATGTTTTACTAAATCATTCCCTCCTTATATACTTGCAAAATTATATAAAATTTCTATTACAATATAGTATCAAATTAAATAATCATATATATTACATAACACATAACTTGTGTGTTAGTGTAAATGTTCCCAAAACCAAAAGGTCCTTCAGCACTCCCTAGTCACGGCAGATAGCATTGTTATAGCACAGAAAACAGTAAGTTCTGTTAGAACTGAAACTCTCAAGACATTGGAGGCTCTGAATTTAGCATGTGTTTTCTTAAGGCTGACAGGTATTGGAAAACATAACTTAACATTTGCTAAAATAATAACAGATATTCTGCTTACAGCATTCATCATGGCAAGTTGTGAAGGGTAAGCCTTGCAAGGGAACATAATCTTCACTCCCCCAATAGTATATTCTGACGCATCAGAAGACATTGTCACTTTTTCCTCCTGTTTACTTCAGGTTTATAACTGCAATAAAAAAAATAGCATTAACAAGTCAACACCAAGAACCAGGCAAAGCCTGACACAACAGATGGCACCAAACAAAAACAAGCAGAAACTGCTAACCTGATAAGGGAGCTACACAGCTCAAGATATTACCAGAACTGGCATTTAGCAATTTATACTGCACACCGGGAGTCACAAACGAGAGCAAGCTGCCACCATCTGACAAGTAACGTCAGCAATTTAAATCAAAGTATGATGAACTGCACACATAATCTCAGACTCTATTTGTCAGACTGAATATTGTTGGGATAAGAACCCAAATCCTTGGAGAAGAGTATTTTAGGATATTTAATAACTAAAAGTAGCCAGTTTTTCAATACTGCAGGTCCATTAGCTTGAACTCCAAGACATTGCAAACTACAAAGACACAGCAGACAACAGGAGATTTTACTGTTCATTTTATAAAAATGAGAAAATAAAACAGGATGCTGACTTTAGAAAGGGGATGTTTTACAACAACGTTTTCCTTCCACTAGCAGTACAGAACTTATTCAGGGGAAAACGAGGTGTCATTCACTTTACTATTCTGTATTATCTTGTATTTCTGTCACTCTGGATAATAAAAGAAAGTCAGTTTCACTATCATCCTAAAATATTGACACTGTCAATTTAAAAATACTGAAGAGGCATAGATGGCTTAAAAAAAGGTCATTTTTTTATTTCTTACGGGTTTTCAGCATCTACAAAATGAAAGAGCAATTTTGAACTGGTAGATTCCCTGTTGATAAATCCAACCTATGTCCTCATCTGACTTTTAATGAGTAAACACACACGTCAAAAAAACCCCAATGTACGGCATGATTCTGCTTCATCATCAAGCTTCTCAACAGGAAAAAGAAACCCTCGCAAAAAGAGTGCTGACATGAGTTTACATCCTACCCCGCCTTCCAAAAATGTAACCGCACCCCATTAAAAGGCTTTTCCCCAGCGCACTCCGGGAGGAGTCGCTTAATTGAGCGCTACTTCCAACGCAGCTTTGCCCAAGAAAAAAGCAAGGCCCCGTTGGGGCACTGGGAAGGATTCAACACCAACGGGGGCTGGAGGCGCAACGGTCCGGGACACCGGGAAGGCGGAAAGACCCTTCGTCCCGGTCTGCTCCGTCCCGCCCGGGAGCGCCTCTAGGATGCCCGGGGCCGTTCCTAGGGAAGCCCCGACGCCACCTTGGCCCACTCTAGCTCCAGCCCTGAGAATTCTCCTGCCTCGCTGAAGGCAGGGAGCGCTGAAGAAGCTCCGACATTCTCCTGCGCGCGCCGCCCCGCCCCAGCCTACACAGAAGCCCTTGGGCGTTTCCTTTACCCTCCAGAACAGGCAGGAGCCCCCGGAAAACCACCTCCCTCCCTCCTCTCCCGCCCTACGGGAGCTCGGTCCCCTCACAGCCGCGCTCCGCTCCGCGGGAGGCGACGAGCGGCGCCGCGCGACCGATCACCTCAGGCGCCAGCGGCCCTTCTCAGCGTCCGTCCTTCCCGCCTCCTCCCCGACGCCAATCAGCTGACAGGAAAAGGGCCCTGAGCCGCCAATCAGCAGACCGTTTTTTTTCCCACCTTCCACCTCTGAGCTACTAGAACCAATCACGGACGACCTTGTTAGCTTCCGGGTTGTACTCGTTGCTAGGCAACCACGCGTTTATCGTGGTTGGGAGTTGTATTGCAAAATACTTCAATGCTTTTTATTATTTAGCTTGTTTTAAGCATCATGCACTGAAAACACTGTACTGGGAAGTAAAAACCGGAAGAGTTTCAATGCTGCCGCACAGGCCAGGCTCCGCAGGAGAAGGCCTTGCCCGAGGGCTGCCCCGCGTCCTTCTGCCACCCCGGGGGGCTCCGCGGCCCCGGGAGCCTCCCTGGGGTTAAACGGGTGCGAACCGGGAAAACTAACATCCATGCAGGCAACCCCCTTGGAAATTAAGTCATACACTGGTTGTTTTTTATTTAAATATCGCTACAGCATATAAAACTGCACTTGGACAGAGAGGGAAAAACTATACATTCAGATTATTTACATACTTTACATCAAGATGGCAAAAACATACTTGGTAGCCAGATGGCATTATTGGATGGTTACAGCACGCTGGTAATCCTGGAACACAAACCCAAGTGTGTTTGGCAATTCCTAAATCGCTGACCGACGCGGGCAGACGACAAGCTATGCAAGATTTTCCCAAGGCCCCACTAAAGAATCAGGCCATTAGTTTCTGGAATATAAACTGGTTTTAATTGAAAAATATTTATTTAAGGACCCTGGATGCTGTCAATTCAGAGAAAAGTAAGTGCTGGATTGAAAAATTTAGCAATTCAAGTGTGTTGTACTACATTCAATTCTGGCACAACAGCCAAACCTTAGTTTTCTTCCTCTGCCGCAAAAGCACGTGCTGCCTCACATAACAGCTTATGCAACCTTCAAGAAACTCCCACATATCGACCCATACGCCCCCTTCAGCAATGGCATAAAACACACCCGTCGAGGCTAAATCCTGCAGCTTTTGTATGTGAAAGAACAACCACCTTCCTGCATGAAGCGCATAGGGTTCAGCCTTCTTGTCTGCTGAGGTGCATGTAACCACTTTGGTATGGCTGAAATCTGTCATTCCCTTCATGATAGGGAAATCTAGCTTCTCTCACAGTCACCCTCAACACTAATTTCTTTTTTTAATCTTACCCTGATGACAAGACACATTTGCACTTATTTCTTGAAATCCTCCTCATCTCTTTTAAATTAAGTGATGTTAAAACCACCTGAGCTGCATTCAAAAGACATATTCTTTAAAAATCCCATTTATACAGCTCATTTTGTAGCAGCACTTTGTTTTAGAAAAACTTTTTAGACCAGTTTCAAACTTTTAATGAAGGCTGGCTGATCTTTAAATGAAGTTCCTGATCTCATGAACTGAAACTTTGACCAACGGTTTGAAACACAAATAAAGCATTTTCTTGGTGCTCAGTGTGATGGTGCAAGTCACTTACACCGCTTTTTCAAGTCTTGGAGAATCTTATTCCATCTTGCTCTGCAAGGCTCTGGAACAGTAGTTCATTTCACTGAAGCAAAGCGCTTCAATCTCAAATTCTTCTTACCATCATTTTGCTGTTTGCTCAACAAATTAAGTGTTCACTTTTCAGTGTTAGAAAATCCTTTTGAGTGTGTCGCTATATCACTTCAGAAACCAAGAAAGCCTGAAAATCAGGCTCAGTTTCACTGTAAATCATTTACTGACCCAAAGAGCCTCAAAAGTTTTCACTGGAAGCCACATAAGCCTCTTTAAAGAATTCCTTTTCTGTTCAGCCATAACTGAATAGAATGAATGAAAAACATGGATGTCTTGTGCTCCAGCTCCTCAGTCCACTTTCACAGCTTTCTCCAAATGTAGGCACCATAGCCTGCAGGACTAGCTACAGTACAACTTCATTTGCATTCCTCCTAAACTCCACTTACACTCATGTTAATTATTTCAATGATAGTATTTTCAACACACTGGCATAACCGAACATCGGGGTCCATGCTTGCAATGTCCCTTGAACAACTTTTGTTAGATGAATCTTTACAAAGTCCTGACACTTCATGTGGTTTCTCTTTTAGTTGCTGGAGACCTAGAAAATTAAGTAAAAGCAGCAAAGTACATCTAAATAAATAATTTTTTTTTTTTAGTTTGTGTATTATACCCATACCACAAACATGTATGCTATGAAATTGCAAATTTGAGCCATCGCTATTTCATGCACCAGGCTTAACTCCACAGATTATTTCTAGAGACACCACAACATTTCCTTTCCATTTACCTATGTCTGACTCCTCTGTGGAGTATAAATATCCTAGCATAGATAGCACCAGGGAGCCTTGTATCACATGGACACAGCATTTGCCCTTCGACAAAAAGAGAGACGAGAACACGCTCAAGATCAACAGCTGAACAGTTAATCCGTGTTCACACAATCACTGTGTATTTATCCAACCATGCTATGTCATCTGTAAGACTTCAGGTAGCTCATTTGACTTTGCCCTTCCAACAGATTAGGAAGATTTATATGGCCGTTCTGCCCCAGTTGAGGGGTTGAAACATCCTTGCGTTCTCAAAAGCCTTTCCTCACGTCTTTCATCCTTACACTACGACAGCAAATTCTATGCACAACACTTGCATGCAGGGATACATCTTGACATGATACAAGCAGGGAAATAAAACAGAAGGAAGGAAGCACAAAGTTTAATAAAAGGGGTACTTTCAGCCCCTTTAGCCTCCAAACTCTCTCCTCCAATCCAATAAATCCACCCATCCCTATTCCTTCTGTACTTACAAGACAACAGCAGTAAATGTCACACCACATTCCAACTACATTCAAACTTTTGCAACATTAACGTTAATTTTCTCCCTGGACCATGACGTTACTTCTGACATACAGGGTTCTTTACTTACGTGTAATAATTGGGTCGAAGTCTCTTGTCTGCGTAGCAACATCAGAGGCACAAACTTGTCCTATTTGTATCAGCAGAGACATAATATCCTCATACAAAGGAGGAAAGGCTTGACAGAATGACACCAAACAAGGCAGGGTTGGCATAAAAAAAGTGTAACGCTTCGACTGGGTTAAAACTATCAAGAAAAAGGAAATGGTTCAGTAAAAAAAGCATTATTATAAAAATCCAGTCAAGAATTGTTGTTACTTTTACAATCGTAATTAACACAGTGGCATGCAGACAAAACTGCATTCAACCCAGACAAATAACTCTAATTTACAAACAACGTATTTAGGGGTTGCTGCAGTGCTGACCTGTGAGCAGGGTTCCCATCACATTGATAGCTAAACGAGCCACGCTGAGAGATTTGGGTAGTGCGTACTGGATACACAAAAATGAAAGTAACTGGATGGCAAAAATCTGTGAAGTAGGTGAAAGGTGAAAGAGAAACAAGCAATGAAGTTAGAGATTGCTTTACACTT